CTGCTCTACCAGGCTTAAATGAAGCCCGCCGGGGGATGGGTGGATAACCGCCAATGCAAGCCCACTAGGCAAGTACTCCATAACCAGCAGATTAGGGCACCCAAGGGAATCCACACCTACCCCAGCCCTGGAACACTGTCCACCAGGGAATGCAAGGAAGCTTAGGGCTTCCAATGGGACACTTGCATGTCTGTACACCAATGCCAGGAGCTTGGGGACCAAACAGGAGGAACTGGTCCTCCTGCTAAACAAGAAAGACTACAATCTCATAGAGATAATGGAGACCTGGTGGGACTCCACCTATGACGGCCACAGATATAGATGGTTATACCCTGTACAGGAGAGATGTGCAAAAAAAAGGGGTGGGGGTGTAGCTCTCTATGTCAAGGAAAGCTACGCATCCCTGCTAATTGACATTGGCACCCGGGGAGGACGTCTGGGTTATTTTAACCCTCTAGGTTAAAATATGTGGGGAACGTGCCACAGGGGATATCATGGTAGGAGTCTACTACAAACCTCCTAACCAGAAACAAGAGCTAGACCAGGAATTAGCCAGGGAACTGGCTGAGGCTGCACGCTTTCAGCACATGGTTGTCATGGGAGACTTTAATTACTCAGACATCTGTTTGGCCCTGGGAGCGGCGTCAGTTTGGCCCTGGGAGCGGTGTGAGATGCACAGATGTAAGCCCGTTGCACCCCCGCACCTCAAAGCCCCCCCTCAGCAACTGTGGAGCACCCTGCCGACCCCCAGCAGTGCCAGAGGTAAGCAGGGCCCATGGTGGGAGGGGCATTGCCCAGCTGCGGGGCAGCTGAGTGGAGCCGAGGAGGGCCTCGCCACACCCCAGCTCCTACTTGACCCAGCCCCCCAGAGAGAGAGAGAAAAGAAAGAAGAGTGGGGAGAGGGTACTTACCAGTCCCTCTCCAGAAGATCAGGGTCCCCCAAACCACCTGGGTAGTGTCCCCCTTGACAAGGAGTAGCACGTTGCCAGCAGCAGGCCCACTGCGTATGTGCGGAGTTTAAAAGGGCCCACCAACCAGAAAAAACCCCAGTTTGGCCCTGGGAGCAGCATGAGATGAACAGGTGTAAGCCTGATGTGCCCCCACACCCCGAGGCCCCCCCAGCGACCGCAGAGCACCCCGCCGACCCCCAGCAGTGTCGGAGGTAAGCAGGGCCCGTGGTGGGAGGGACATAGCCCAGCTGCAGGGCAGCTGAGTGGAGCCGAGGAGGGCCTCGCCCCTCCCCAGCTCCTACTGCGCCCAGCCCCCCAGGGAGCCACGTGACCGGAGCCTCGTGAATAGACCGCGCAAACAGGTGTGCTTCTGGACCCAGCACATGAGTTTGTGCAGGAGGGGAGCGGGAGGGCCTGAGGCCCTGCCAGTGATCCCCCTGGGGTAGGCAGTCCCTCGGGGTCTGTGCCCCCACCCCCTCACCCCCGGCTCCTCAGAGGTCTCCACCCAGACGGAGTCCATGGCTCCAGGCTCCATGCAGATGGAGCCTCTGGCTCTCGGCTGCGGGGGCTGCCTGACACTTTTTCAGGCTCTGGGGTCCAGGAGCATGGCCACCTCCCCTTGTGAGGTCTGCTCCCTTTCGGGGTCTCTGGCGTGCCAGCTGGAGGAGCTCCAGGCCGCAGACCAGAGACTGCGTGCCATCAGGGATGGTGAACAGGAGATAGACTCCTACTACCAGGCCCTTCTCCCTCTGCAGGTGGAGGGTAGACCAAGGTCTCCTTCCGGGACAAGGGAGGACTTGGGGACCTCCCATTCTGTCCAGCCAAGGGGTTGGACCAAGGTGGTCAAGGGCCCCAAGG